CAGATTCGGAAAGTACTCCTCGAGACCTTTCATTTGTGCCCAGCCTCGACACCGCTTCATTTTTAGTTTCTGTTCTGTGGATGCTTTTATCTGCAATTTCCATAAAATTGAGCGATAATTCTTCAGAAAATGCAAAAAATTCCTAAGTCTGAAATTCTTTTTGACTATAAGGTCCACAGATTCGGAAAGTACTCCTCGAGACCTTTCATTTGCGCCCAGCCTCGACACCGCTTCATTTTTAGTTTCTGTTCTGTGGACGCTTTTATCTGCAATTTCCCTAAAATTGAGCGATAATTCTTCAGAAAATGCAAAAAATTCCTAAGTCTGAAATTCTTTTTGACTATAAGGTCCAAAGATTCGGAAAGTACTCCTCGAGACCTTTCATTTGTGCCCAGCCTCGACACCGCTTCATTTTTAGTTTCTGTTCTGTGGATGCTTTTATCTGCAATTTCCATAAAATTGAGCGATAATTCTTCAGAAAATGCAAAAAATTCCTAAGTCTGAAATTCTTTTTGACTATAAGGTCCACAGATTCGGAAAGTACTCCTCGAGACCTTTCATTTGCGCCCAGCCTCGACACCGCTTCATTTTTAGTTTCTGTTCTGTGGACGCCTTTATCTGCAATTTCCATAAAATTGAGCGATAATTCTTCAGAAAATGCAAAAAATTCCTAAGTCTGAAATTCTTTTTGACTATAAGGTCCACAGATTCGGAAAGTACTCCTCGAGACCTTTTATTTGTGCCTATCCTCGACACCGCTTCATTTTTAGTTCCTGTTCTGTGGACGCCTTTATCTGCAATTTCCCTAAAATTGAGCGATAATTCTTCAGAAAATGCAAAAAATTCCTAAGTCTGAAATTCTTTTTGACTATAAGGTGCACAGATTCGGAAAGTACTCCTCGAGACCTTTCATTTGTGCCTATCCTCGACACCGCTTCATTTTTAGTTTCTGTTCTGTGGACGCTTTTATCTGCAATTTCCCTAAAATTGAGCGATAATTCTTCAGAAAATGCAAAAAATTCCTAAGTCTGAAATTCTTTTTGACTATAAGGTCCACAGATTCGGAAAGTACTCCTCGAGACCTTTCATTTGTGCCCAGCCTCGACACCGCTTCATTTTTAGTTTCTGTTCTGTGGATGCTTTTATCTGCAATTTCCCTAAAATTGAGCGATAATTCTTCAGAAAATGCAAAAAATTCCTAAGTCTGAAATTCTTTTTGACTATAAGGTCCACAGATTCGGAAAGTACTCCTCGAGATCTTTCATTTGTGCCCAGCCACGACACTGCTTCATTTTTAAATATTTTATTCTCGGTTTAAATGTAGAGTTAAGGGTTTCAAAGTTTTTCAACGTAAATTTTAATTAGGTTTTTATTTAGCGATTTCATTTTAAATTTGAAATTTGTAGGGAAAATTGTGAAATTTGATGAAAACTAATATAATTTAGTTTACCTTTAATTTTCTCTGGTTTACTACTCCCTCTCTCTATCTCTCCCTCTCTATCTCTCTCTCTCTCTCTTTATTAACCCTTTGTGAACCGGAGAAAAAATCACCTTGGTTTGTGTCTTTGCTAATTAAATTTAAATTTATCTTGACGGACATTGAAAATACAACAATGACAACAGCAATAACAACACCAGCAGGCAAGACAATCTGAGAGACACGCACGACAGTAGGACGCCATCATGCATAGATAGATCGACGGAGCGAACAACCCGCCAGAAGGCAATGTACAGATATGTATGTATTTAGTACATTATGAAGTACTTAAATGTTATTTTTTAATTTCATTTTAAAATTTCCAAAAACATATATTTTTTTTAAATACATTTTCCAAATTGAAATTTATGGTGCTCTTGGTAGGATACCTATCTATGGTCGCTCGATATTTAAATGGACCACCAAAAAGCAAGCAAAGCCATCTGATTTGGCTGAGAGATGAGTTGGAAACATATATTGTGATGAAAGCTTTTGCCCATCACCTTAGCAAGCTTTTTGGGGTGAAAGCTTCTTTTGGGACAAAATGTAGATTTCGAATTGTAGGTTTGAATATAATTGATCACAGAAGTGTACAAATTCTCAATTTAATTGTCATGATGTCTGTTACCTTTTGGAACCTTAGAACCTCTTTGGGACATGTTTAATATTTCAATTCTAAATTATGAACATGAGAGAACATATACAATTTGTGAGAATTTCAAAAAATTAGCCCGATTTTGGATACCTATAACTCTTAAGAACCATGTATTTAACCAAATAATCTCCATACATTGGGTTGCAAAAATTGCACTTCGGAAGATTAATGTCCAACTAAGATCTGGGGTGAAGATCGACCATATTTCTTCATCTCAGATCTTAGCTGGACTTTAATATTTCGAAATGCCAAGAACGTACCAATTCAAAGATTTTCTTCCTCAAGATTGTGGATGAGTTGCCTGAAGGAGTGTTCGAATTTGGCGGAGTATTGAAGTAATATTGAAATAATTTAAATTGGATACATAATTTTGTCATTTTTAAATTTTTTCTCCAAATAAAATCAAAATATTCCAGAGATAAATGAATGAACATAACCATGGATGTTCGTACTACTCCTAAACTGTTTGGTATTGCAAATGGGCTATATAAGGTGACTCCAGATTTTCGGTATTTCTGGATTCAACTGCAATTTCCAGCCGAATTTTGGGGATAGACCCCCACACAGTTGTACCTCCTACTAAAAAATTTGAGGGATTCAGACTCATTTAATAACCAATTATTTACAATTAGATATTCGAGTTTTTCATAGGACACAAATTATCCTCGCAGGCCGTTATCGATACGGGGCCACTATCAGGAATGGCCTCTGTATATAAATATTTCCTGATATTTTATATTTCAATGGGTTCGGACTATCAAATTGTCTTTGATATTTAATTCAATATCGATCCACGATTCGCCATAAGCTCCAAATGGTGGTACTGGAATATTTCAAACTTTTTCCTGACCGAAGTTTAAAGCCTTTTATACTTTCCAGGCTAGGGTTGAAAGTATATAAAATTTGTCAATGCCTTTACATTCATGTGGACCCGCTCCTTCTCCTCTCTAATGGGTACGTTATTGAAAAAAAAATAATACTATTTTTTTTTAATATCGTACCCATTAGAGAGGAGACGGGTCCACATGATTCACTTTCACACCTGACTTGAGTGCAACCAAATGTGAAAACTTTGGGGCTTAGTAAAAACTATTCCCGAAAGGTATCTTTTTTTAAGGACGAACCCAGATAATGGACCCGAAAGTCCGTATTTGAGACCCGGGTTAGACCCGGATTTTTGAATTTTCCTTTACCCTGATTTCGGGAAAGAATTTTTTTTCTTGGAGGACGGACCCAGATAATTGACCGTAAATTCCGGGTTTGAGACCCGGGTTAGACCCGGATATAGGTATCACTTGGAAGCTAATGAAAATACCTATGCAAGTGGTCCATATGATCCACTTCCACAACTGGCTTGAGTGTAATCAAATGTGAAGATTTCGGGGCTTCTTTGAATGTTTTTTTGTTGTACCCTGATTACGGGAAAGTATTTTTCCTTGGAGAACCATGTGGAAGCTAATGAAAATACCTATTCAAGTGGTCACATTATCTGTTTATTTAAAACTATTCGGAAGTTAAATCAAAATTTTTCGATTTTCTGGACCCGGAATGTATTTTTTTTTTTTCATTTTAAATCCCCCAAAAGTCGAAAAAGAATCCATTTCGGGAGCCCATAAAATATATGCCAAATTTTAGTTAACACCATAACCTTTCCTAAATGCCACAATATTTGTCATTATCTTTCTTGGATTTAAAGATATGGGTCTTTGAACCCGCATTTTGCAATGAAATAAAGTTTTCAGTATAAAAACCTATCTTCGCGTAGCTAGTATTGGTCACACCCAGAAGAGAAAATTTCAAGCCCAGGTCAAAGGGTGGCTACTTAAAAAAGGATCATATCAGAACAGGTAGAAAAGAAGCTAACTGCGGCAAGGCCGAAATTTTAATATCTTACACCGTTTGGAAGGAATCTGAAAAATGTCAATAAATTCCGAAAAATATCGTTTAAGCCCCTCTATATGGGGGCTATATGAAGAAGTGGAAAGGCATACATAATTTTTTATCATGGGCGGCAGTACCCATTAAAAATTCGAAATTTGAAACAATTCTGGTGAATAGTGTAGCTAAAATCATCCAAATTCCAAGAAAGGGAAGTACCGTTGGGGGAGGGGCTTATAGGAAGACGTGGCACTGCATACGAATTTTTTTGTCATGGGCTGTACTAGCCGCTACGAACTCTAAACACGAATTTTGAAACAATTCGGGTGGATGGTTTCGCTAAAATCATCAAAATACCGAATTAAGGGAGATACCGTTATATAGGGGCTATACGAAGACGTGAACCTGCATACGATTTTTTTTTTTTGTTTTACCGTTATATGGTTATATGGGGGCTACACAAAAACGTGGACCGACAAGGCCTATTTACGAACTTTATCTGCCTACTGGCATTGACATTCTAAATAATACTTGATGTTTTTTTTTAAATCGAATCTTCTGATCCCAGCAACACATTCTATGTAAATAAATATACCCAAAGTAACAAAAATCTCTATCCCTATTTAATGTATGTATAAGTGTAAAATGTATGTATAAATGTAAAATAAGCATGTTTGCATGTATGTATATATGTATGTACTTAAATAATTCTGCCATGTATATAAGACACATTCCCAAGGCCCCATAGAAACCCTTTGTATAAAATACCAACAACCTGCCTGACGACAACGACATCTTTTTTGTAAAAAACCCTTTGTTTCTCTTTGTTACCCTACCCACTGATCTATTGTCCTCCACCCCATAGACAAGCCGGTGAAAGAACATCTTAACTTGAATAAATATATGTTTTTCTTTATTTGTCTTCTCCTGCATCTTCACATATCTATTGTGGAAAATAAATTTACGAAAATCGCACTCGAACGCCCGTAGATAAACCTCAATGCCGAAAATGTGCCAAAGCCCTGCAGGAACTGGAGAACATCGACGATGAAGCCGATCAGCTGGGCATTGGTTTTGTGAAGATCCACGACGAAGCCCTGGCTGAGGAATATAATTTGGGAAATTTGCCGGCCTTGGTGTACTACCGACATCAGACTCCCATAATCTATGAAGGTAAACCTCATTATAGCCATCCACCCACACTCTCCTCCATCGCTCATACACTGCACGCACGAAACACCTGCACCCCCAAACCCACCAAAAAAGTACACTGAGCCACTTGAGTTTTGTTTGTTTGTTAATTAGGTGAACTACAGCGCGAAGAAGATGTCCTGGAATGGCTGGTCCAGAATAAATCCACTGGCGACGAGGATGATGTTATTGAAGATGTCACGCCCAAGACTCTGGCCACCCTGATCAGCAACATAGATAATCTGGTAGTTTTGTTCTGTAAGCCCACACCCCCCAACCATCATTCCCCCTCTTAATAAGGAAGCTGATTCTGATCTTGTCTAAATCTTAATTGTAGATGATCATGGAAATGATGATTCGATGACCGTTTTGGAGGAGCTAGAACAAATTGACGACGACTGCGACAAGCATGGCATCCAATTTGTGAAGATTGATGATGCCAAGACCGCAGACGAATATGGAATTGAATCGGTAAATAAGAAACTAGAGGGGTGAATAGGAGGAGGAGGAGGAGGGAGGTGTATGAGGAGAGCAGCATCGAAGATTTTGTAGAGATTGGAGGCAAAGAAAAGAAACCAAGGTTACGGCTAATCCTACACACAAATGGCAGCCAAAGGCTTCTACAAAATTGGAGAGGCGTCTCCCTTCATAACCGTATCCGCCAAATCCTTGATCCCCTTCCCTTAGATGCCCACCGTATGCCTAACCTATTTTGTTCATCAACTGCAGATTCCAGCTATAGTTTATTTCGAAAAGCAAATACCCAACATTTACGATGGCGATCTCATGGACGAAGAGGAGATCCTGCACTGGCTGGTCTCCCAATTGGAACACGACGAAATCGAAGATGTCACCGATGAAATGTTGGATAAAATGGTCAAGGAAGGCCGCGTCCTGGCGGTACTATTCTGTAAATATCATTCTTCCACCTATTCTCTGAAGTTGATGCCCCCCATCCACCCCCTGGAACTTGTTAATAATCAAAGCGATTTCTTTGTAAAAATCTCTCCGCAGATGACAACAACGACGAAAAATCTGAAAAGGTTTTGGAAGAATTGGAAAATATCGACGACGAATGCGACGCCCTGGGCATTACATTCGTGAAAATGGATAATATCGAGGAGGCCGTCGAGTACGGCATTGATTCAGTTCCTAAATTGATTTACTTTGAAAAAGGCATTCCAACCATCTACGAAGGCAATCTCCAGGACGAGGAGAAACTCTTGAAATGGCTCGAGGAACAAACCAGTTCCGATCAAATTGAGGACATTACCGATGAAATGCTGGATTTGATCATCGAGAAAATGCCACTCGTTGCAGTGCTGTTCTGTAAGTCGGGAGTCCAAACCCCCCTTTGCTTAGTTGGCCGAAAGCCAAGCCGGTTTCTTTACTTTAGGTTAAATGCAAACGAAGAAATTCTGGAACGCTAAGCTAAGTAAATGAAGGTAGTATTTTCTTCTCTTCCCAATTCAAATTGGGTCGTGTCTATGGTCGATGTCTGTCTGTCTGTGACTTTGTTTAGGGGCTTTAAATGGAAAATGGCTTGCTTTAAATATCGCTAACTGTATATATCGGAATAATCCGGAAAAAAATAATAATTTCAATGTTGTATGACAAACTAACAAGGTCTCAAGGATTATCAACTCAAATAACTTGCAACTCAAAATTTAAACAAAAAAAAAGAAGGAAGAAGGCATTCCAGGAGGGACAAAATTGATGTGACTTCTGAGAAAAAAAAAAAAAAAAACAGGAATTAGGTTCGCAGCATAGGGATGTGAGAGGTTCATCATTCAATAGGCGTTGTTTTTCTTTTCGCAATGCATTCAAGTACTAATTGACCTCTTGTTTTATCCAGACGACAAGGATCAAAAGAAATCCCAAAAGGTCTTGGCCGAATTGGAGAACATCGATGATGAGTGCGATCAGAATGACATTGCCTTTGTCAAGATCGACGATGACACCGAGGCCAAGGAATGGGGTATCGATGAGATTCCCTGCATTGTCTTGTTCGAGCGCGGTATTCCCCATGTCTATGAGGGCGATTTGATGAAGGAAGATGAGTTGCTCGGCTGGTTGGTACACCAGAAACGTTACTCCGAAATCCCTGAAGTCACCGATGAAATGAAAGACAAATTGGTAGAGAGCACCGATCATTTGGCCGTTATCTTCTGTGAGTAGTTGGTCCATGCTTATGATTTTTGATTTCTCATTTATTATCCTCCTCTAGATGACAAGGATGATAAACAGGATATCCGCATTTTGAATGAATTGGAAAACATCGACGATGAGTTGGAAAAGGAGGGCATTGTCATTGTGCGCATCGACAATGCTGCCGAGGCCAAGGAATATGGTTTGGACCACTTGCCCGCCCTGATCTACTTTGAGAACAAAATTCCCGCCCTCTATGAAGGCGATCTCATGAATGAAGATGAAGTCCTGGAATGGTTGATTTTGCAAAAGAAAACTGCCACCATTGAAGAAGTTACCGATGAAATTTTGACCGCATTGATTAGTGATCATGAATATGTTGTCGTCTTCTTTACCGGTCCCTGTGAACCCGGTGAGAAATGTGACAAGACCCTGAATGCCTTGGAGTCGATTGATGATGAATTGGATGAGACTGGCATTATCTTTGTGACCACTGAGGATACCACCATTGCCAAGAAACACAACATCAAGGTCTATCCCCAATTGGTATTCTTCAGGAATCGTGATCCTCTGCTCTTCACTGGCGATCTGGAGGATGAAGATGAAGTTTTGGCCTGGATCACTGATGAGGATACTCTTGAAATTCCCGGTAAAATTGAAGAGGTGAATGTCAAGATGTTGGACAAGATTTTGGCTGAGAATGATCATGTGGTTGTGTTCTTCTGTAAGTTGGGAGGATATGATGTTTGGGAGGACTTGATTTGATATATTTTTGTGTTTTTCTTTGCAGATGCCGAGGGTGACAAGAAATCCCAAAAGATTTTGAATGAATTGGAAAACATTGATGATGAATGCGAAGAAAAGGATATCGACTTTGTCAAGACCTCGGATGAGGATGTTCAAAAGGAATACGATTTGGCCAGTTTGCCAGCTTTGGCTTTCTACAGGCACAAGTTCCGCACCATTTACACTGGTAAGGGAGGGAGGAAATGGGAAATGTTTTTTATTTCTCCTAAAATATAAATTTTCTTCTCATTTCTTCAGGTGACTTAATGAAGGAGGATGAAATCTTGGAATGGGTCCTTGAACTACATGAATCCACTGCCGATGTTATTGAATCAGTTGATCGCAAAACTTTGCAGGTTCTCATCAATGATGTTGAACATTTGGCTGTTTTCTTCTGTAAGTGTAAATCACGTTTATTTATATTTCGAAGCTTCACTCGAAGAAAATCCAAGGATTTATATACCCTACCACCAGTAGACTAGAGTGGTCAGGGTATTATGTCTTGGTACATTTGTTTGTATCAAGGGGAAGGAAACTAGATAGGCCCATAGTTCCTTTTGAGGATGTGCACAGAATCACATTCTGAGTTGATTTATGATTGTCCGTCCGCCCGTCCATGTATTTTTGAAAACAATCGAAATCGAAAAAAATTTGGCATAAATCCTTTGTTTGGCTTAAGGACGAACCCTATTAAAATTGATGACAATTAGTCCTTCGTCCAAATTTAGATATAGCTTCCATATATATCTTCATATCGTAATATTCCATCTGACAAAAATATTGAAAAATGAGCTCGGGGTAAAGCTATTGAAATTCCAAAAAGTGCAAGAACTTACACCGCAACAGAAAGAAAATAGACTGAAAAGAGCTAAAGAGTTGCTTCGCTTCGCCGAAAGAGGTGAACTGCCGAATTCGGTTTTCTCCTTCTCCAATGAGAAAACATTCGTTGTCCTGCAGTTTGTAAAAATACCCAATTGTCAATCACCTCAAGCAAACGCTTCGCCGGGAATAGGCCAATATACCGCAGATCAACATTCGGGCAGCGTGTGACGGCTTCCTTGGCCGTTTGAAGGCCATAATTCGTGCCAAAGGTGACCAATTAGAACAAATCTTACCTTGTTCTAAAATTTGATACTATTTCCGACATTTTTTGCTTTCATTCAATAAAATTTAAGAAAAATGTAAAAATTATGACGTTTGACTTTGTTCATCCTGTATATCTTAAGCCGATTTCTTATTTAGTGTGCACCAAATTGGATTCTGGCATATACGACCGAATTCAGCCTAGGAGGAGGTACTTCAATTTTGGTGAAAATGCGTTCAGAATTTTGGCACACATATCCGATTTGGTGTTTAAGTCCAGATACAGCTCAGAAATACCTCTGTAAAATTTGATCAAAATCGGCTCCGATTTCGATATAGCCCCCATATATATTTTTAACCGATTTCACATTTATTGTGCACCAAATAGTCAACATCAGTTCAAATGGTGCATATACAACCGATTTAAGCCTAGCAGCAAGTTAAGCAAATTTGGTGAAAATCGCTTCTGATATAAATATAGCTCCCGATTTGGTGTTTTAGTCACTCCCATTTGCAATAAGCACTCCACCACAATTATATTTGCTACCAGATATTATATACAGCCCATAAATATCTTTGCCAAATTTGATCAAGATCGGTTCAGATTTGGATATAGCTTCCATATATATCTTCATCCGACTTCAAGGTTTTTGAACATTTAACAGATTTTTTTTTTTTTTGTGGAAAACTCGGTTCCCGCATATTTATTACTCCAATGTACATATTTTTTGATACAGCCCTTCTCGAAGTCATATCATGCCCCCTATAGCAATGTTATTTGGTATAAGGAGTACAAATGTTCCCGTCAAATTTGGTGGAAATCGATTCAGAGCTGAATATTCCATCACACACATTAGTTCGCTCTGATTTCATATAATATCTGCTCCAAGAACATAAGACGCATTCAAAAAACGATCATGGTTGATATGATCTACTTCACATAAATTCCCAATATAGTCATTCATTTGTTACGGGTAGCTCTACTAAATATTCATTGTGGTCTAGGGTATCATATACCCTACTATTGACCTCTCTTTAATGGTTTATTTATTTTTATGTTTTTTTTTTTTTTAAATTTTCAAAAATATTTTAATTCTCTCTTTCTCAGATGATGACAAATGCGAATCTTGCTCCGATATTCTGGAGGAATTGGAAAATATCGATGATGACACCGACAAGCATGGCATCCAATTTGTCAAGTCCAATGATGTTAAGTTGGCCCATGAAATCGGCATCTTTGCCTTCCCTGCCTTGGTCTACTATGAGACCGGCGTTCCGATCATGTATGATGGTGAGTAGCAACTAAAACCACTACAAACTATAAATAATTTGAAAATCCTTCCTCTCTTCGCCTCTAGGTAATCTCAAAAACGAAAAACGTGTACTGCAGTGGTTAATCAATCAAAAGAGTAAGCTATCTGACTTCCCTTTCGCACAATTCATAAAAAAAGAAACACACCAAACAATCTGCCTAAAAAATGATTAACATCCAACTGTTTTCTCTCACACAAAGTGTCTAAAACTATTTTATTAAAAAAACAACCGAGAACGAACACTGCATTGTAAGCCACCAAAAAAAGGAAGAAAAGAATTCATGCTAAACCTGATCATGTTCTTTCAAAGAGAATAATCTCACATCTTCTATTTCCATTTCTCTTCGAAAACAAAAGTATTAATTCAATTTTAGCATTCCAATTTTCAAAACCAAATGTACAAAATTTTTTGTTTACTTCCACACATTCTTTTCTCCTTCTTTTTTTTATTTTTTGTAATTGCAGTAGAGGTATTGAGAATGTTAATATTCGGCGCATTAAAAATTTTAAATCATAGTCTACCCAAAATAATGGCATTAGTTTCTTGGCTCTAAATTTTTTGTAGCATTCGACGACGACAAACTGCACAACTACGTCGAATACGACCCATGAAAATACTCTATCCGCTCTCAAACTGGGTGCGCATGCGCGCACCGCTCTCAATCTCAAGTTCTACGTTCGTTCCTTCTTTTTATCTAATGCTAACTACTCTAAGACTGATTTTGAACAAATCTGGCAACACTATTTCTCTAATAATCTAGGTACAAGACATCAAGCAAGGTTTTTATGGTTCAAATCTATTGTTATTTCCCTTTTTAAATATTTTTACTTTTTTTAAATATTGAGATATGAACCCTGTAGCATTGAAAGTTGGCAAAGTTTTGTCAAGCTTTGTTGATTATTCCCAACCTCCTTTTCCAAAACACTATTTTTCGCAATTTATACTTCTAGGATGAGTCTATCAATCCATGTCCAAACTAAACTTTACTTTGACCACCCTCCAAAAAACAACTTCTATGCATTCCAAAGGGGAAAATAGATTATGTTGGGCATATTTTTTCGAGTGTATAACAAAAACAGGTACTTACCTTGATAATCTTCATACATACTTGATTGAAGGTCTGCAAAAATAAAATGGAAATAATTAATTATTAATAAAAGAAAAATGTGACAATGTAAGCGTCATCCAAGATTAGTAACATAATATTATTAAAAACCAAATAAGAAAGAATAACAGTTGGGAACCCGAAATATTTAAAGATTAAGAGTTGATGTATTTTTCCAGAAATTATTATAAAATTAACATTAATAACCACTGTTGCAGGGTTTCAAAAAATCGGCTTAGGAAATTTGGCAAGACACTCTAAAATACCTTTAATAAGGAGACACAGCTCGAATATAACAAAACGTAGACCCACCCTCTTAGATCCCATTTGCCGATAGTTGCTTTGAAGAGTGTGTCAAAAAGCTTTAAAGTACCTTAAATCGAGACGTGTCGCAACAGCTATACTATATCTGGGACCTTCTAGTAACAGTAGTCCAATGTTAACTCGAACAATTTCATCTAAAACCCGTTAAAGAAGATAAAGTTGGACAGGCCGACTTTATGATACCCTACACCACTATGCACAATTAAGAGTTGGCGTATTTTTCCAGAAATTATTTAAAAATGGGGAAGCTCTTACCAGAGTGTTGAAATATAGGAGTCAAGCCTAAAATTAACCTTAATAACCACAATTTCAATTTCATCTAAAACAATTTCATCTAAAACTCCGTAGAGAAAGGTCAAAATTCAGGCGAGGCCGACAACATGATATCCTACACCACTATGCAAATTTTAGTAGAGCTTTTCGTAGGGAATTTATGTATTATGGCTTTAGAGCAGTGATAATTTGATAAAAAAATTATAACTTGGATTTATATCCAAATCAGAATCGATTTCCACCAAATTTGACGGAGGCAAATAACATTGCTATAGAGTGCATGGCATGACTTCGAGAATATATATCGGGGCATAAGATAGAGGATGATTTAAAAAACTGCAACAACGTCAAACGTAATAATTTTTACATTTTTTTTTTAAATTTTATTGAATGAAAGCATAAAATGTCGGAAATAGCCTCAAATTTTAGAATAACTTTAGTTTTGTTCGAATTGGTCACCTTTGGCACGAATTATGGCCTTCAAACGGCCAATGAAACCGTCACACGCTGCCCGAATGTTGCTCTGTGGTATTTTGGCCCATTTCCGGCGAAGCGTTTGCTTGAGGTGATCGACACTTTGCTATTTTTTAGTGCCAACCTTGCTTTCCAAAATGCTCCAGACACAATAGTCGAACGGATTGGTATCCGGAGATTTTGGTGGCCATTGTGCGCTGGAAATGAAGCGAGGAACCTCATTTTGTAACCGTGCTTAGTTTGGAATGTCCATGGTCTGCGGCCAAAGTGTTTGTGTGCCCAAGGCTTTAATACACCCTCCAGAATATTTTCGCGATAATATTCGTCATTTATTCTGATTAATACGAGCGGAGAGCGACCACCGGCTGTTATGGCGGTCCACACCATCACCATGGCCGGCGCTTGAGTTCTGGTGGCCAACCGAAGGTACACATTTTCAGCTGACCTCTTGGGACAACGAATTTTTTCTCTTCCGAGAAAACCTAATTCGGCAGTTCACCACTTTCGGCCAAACGAAACAACTTTTTAACTTTTTTGAGTCTATTTTCTTTCCGTTGCCGTGTAAGTTCTTTCTCTTTTTGGAATTTCAATGCCTTTACCCCGGACTCATTTTTCAATATTTGCCGAATGGAATATTGCTGAGTGGCTTAGAAATGATAGCAGTCTGAAGTTGATTGTATACTGTATACCTTACTCGGAAATATTGATTGCTCAGATTTTACGATTGCGCATTTTTAGTATAAAAATGTACTGAGTGTACCAATAAAAGTATCCTGAATATAAATTTGAACGTTTCGGATTTGTTCAGTTTTTTACAGAAAAAGTACAACTGCCTCTAATTGTATTGATAAAAACGATTAAAAGTGGCATCAAAATAGTACCCATTTCTGTGAAAAAAAGTTAGAAGTGGTAGAAAAATAGTAACATTTCGGTATTCAAAAATGATAATAGCGTATCAAAAATGGGTGTACTCTTTAGTGCAAAAAATAGTCTCTTTTAAGTACCAAGACCAAAAAATTTCAAGTGAAAGCTTTTCTAGCTTTCAATTCGTATTTATTCCAAGGAGTGGACCTATATTGACTACCTTTACTCGATGTTTGTACCAAACCGGACACGCTATTTTAGAATTATCAAAATTACCAGCAAGGCAGACCAACAGATATAACTAGATCAACTTTTGATGTGTAGGAACGGGTTTTGTTTGAAGGATTAGAAATCCTTAATTTATGGAGACACATTATCGACCTATCACAGGCTGTATAAATAAAAAGTAATTACATCATTCAATTTCCTAAAAATAATAGTTCTTCCCTTATAAATCCCGGAAGAAAGACGTCGAAAGCCTACACCGCGGCTCTGTAAATGAATTTCGAAAAATACAAAAAAAAAACAATTTCTACCCACCCAAATAATTCCACAGAGAGCCTTTTGATGTTCCTCATCAACAATTTTCAGGCTTAAAATCAAGTTATACACTCCCAAGAAAAAATATGTCTACAACATTAAATTCCCCGAACCGTAGCTATTTCTATGACCTCTGGCCCTTTTATTGCAAAAAACGAAACCCCCAAGGAGACAATGCATGTTTTAACCAAAAAAACCAACAACAGCACTAACTGTACAAATGTTTGTGGAACTCTAAAAAACACACATTTTCTGACTAACAACAACAAAAAATAAAAATAATAATAATTAATTAATAATTTTGCAAAAAAAAATAATAAAAAACAATAATCAAATCAAATTCAGAAACATAGCTGACACAATGTTTTGTTTTGAAAAAAAATATACATCTTTTTTATTTTTTAATGTTCAATAAACTTTTATTAACAACTTCTTGCTAATTGATATACAAATGAATAGAAAGCAAAATAAAAAACCCACAATAATTGAAATGAACTGATAGTTGTTAAAATAAAATAAAAAAAAAACTAAATATTGAATAAGAATGGCTACACTGTGCAAAAAAAATAAGAGTAATTTTTGTAAATGAAACGAAAATAAATGAGAATATTGTAAAATATTTTAGAAAATTGGAAAAAAACAAAACAAAAACGAATTGTTAACTTAATGTTATAACGAAAAAGAACAACAACTTGTCAAATTTTGTCTGTGAACCATTTACTCTCTCTTTCTCTCGCTCCACCCTCACAATGTCCAACCATTTAAGAGATATCTCAGAATTGCAAATGTCAGCATCAAAAGCATTTTGTCAGTTAAGTTTTTGTCTCAGAATAGCTCTCTTGCGCATAACGATCTACTATTCTTCTCTATTGCGTTGATAAGAATTTAAAACAATTACGAAAGTTTTTTTTTTTTTTGAAACAAAAGCACGCTTTTTTAATAATTTTGTAAATGCAAAAAATTTCTTTGTTTTGTTAATTATTTTTAAAAAAAAGACAACTTTCCAAAAAAAGAAAAGAACAACCAAAAAATTACCAGATGAAGAAAAAAGCTACTAACTTTTTCACTGTCTATATGAAAAGAAAAAAATGTTTTTTTTTTTTTTGATTTGAAACCAACAGAGAATTGTATTGAGAATTCTCTGTCCTTTGTTAATTTGTAATTTTTTTCTTGTTTAACAACATTTTCTTTGCCTTAATGTTGATGACGTTGAATGAATGAATGATGATTTTTTGAACTGGAATCTGACAAAATGTTTTTGTTTGTTTGTGCACAGATGACGAATGTTTCTATGTTGGATTGGGTCACGAAGGCCGTTCAGCTAAGCGAGGCAACAACTTTGTGCCCGACCACTACCAACCATTCCAATGCTGTCCAACTAAATTGGAAAAGTCAAC